CGACGTCGGGGGTTTGGGCTCCTCGCCCTCCTCGAGCACACCTCGAGCCCCCAGGGCACGGGGCGCACGCCGAAGGCCGCGCGCGCGTGCAGGAGGAGGGAGCCGAAGGCGAGGAAGGGAGGCGGCGGGGAAGGGGCAAGGCGCAAGGAAAGGAGGAGGAGGCGAGGAAAGGAGGAGGCGAGGAGAGGAGGAGGAGGAGGAGGAGGAGGAGGCGAGGAAAGGAGGAGGTGAGGAGAGGAGGAGGCGAGGAGGAGGAGGAGGAGGAGGAGGAGGAGGAGGAGGAGGAGGAGCGAAGCAGAAGGCGAGGAAGGGAGGAGGCGGGGAAGGGGCCCCGAGAAGGAGCTGCACGCAGGGTGCCGTCAGCTCACGCCGCCAGCCGCTCCACGAGGACCCGCCTCCAGACGCCCGCGCCATCGGCCGCTCCCGAGCCCCTCCTCGCGCCCTCGTCGAGCCCTCCTCGAGCCCACCTTTAGCCCCCAGGGCACGCCGAGCCCTCCTCGCGGCCCCACCTCGGGCCCCCCCCTGCTCGGAGGCTCGGGAGGCCTCCGTCCTGAGGAGCTCTGCTGCGCTTTCGCCGCAGCCGCGGAGGGCCTCTCTTGAAGACCCCGCGGCCAGAGCAGCTGGGGTCGGACGGCCGCCCTCCCCTCCTCCTCCTCCCCCCCTCCTCCTCCTCCCTCCTCCTCCACTCCTCCCCCTCCTCCTCCTCCTCACCCCTCCTCTCCTCCTCCTCTCTCCTCCTCCTCCTCCACCTCCACCTCCTCCTCCTCCTCCTCCTCCTCCTCCTCCTCCTCCTCCTCCTCCTCCTCCTCCTCCTCCCCTCTCCTCCTCCTCCTCCTCCTCCGCCTCTGCCCCCTCCACCTCCTCGTCCTCCTCCCCCTCCTCCTCCTCCCCCCTCCTCGCCCCCTCCGCCTCCGGGCCCCTGCGCTGCGGGGGCCCCGCCGCCCCCGACGGCCGGCCTGCGGCAGGCCCCTGCCGCCGGCCTCGGGCCTCGGCGGGCCTCGGCGAGCTCGGCGGCGGCCCGAGGGCCGCGCACGGCGCCCGGCCGGCCGCCGGCGGGGCGGCCTGCCGGGGCAGCTCCCCAGACCCAGAGATCCAACGTACTGAAAAAATCAAGACGGAGGTTTGTCTAAATTTTCGGCCTCTGGCGGCCCTCGCCGGGCCCCGGGACTGTCAAAAAACGACTCAGGATGAAAAACCGGTCCTGGGGAATGGGTCGAGACTTCCGGGGACCCCGTCCTGAAAAAATCACGACATCGGATCTCTGGGGAGCTTGCATCAAGTCGGGCCTGTCCCCCTACATGGGGATTTTCAACGAAAAATACAAAAGTTACCCCAGAAATAGTTTAAAAGCAATCCAAAAGTAGTCTGGGGACTATTTTTTGAGTATTTGTTGAACCTTTTTGGTGCACTTTTGGGGTCTTTTTTATTTTTCGTCGAAAATCCCCCTGTAGAGGGGGACACGCCCGACTTAGAGCTCGCACGACCTGCTTCCCAGACCCCCTCGCGGCGTGGCAGTGTTTTTGGGCGCCGGGCGTCTTCGCTCGATTTTTTGGGCCCCGGGAGCCTCACAGATCGATCGGGCTCGAAGAGTGGCGCAGGAAGAGGAGGACAGGCGGGGGGTTCTCCCCGTTTTCGGCCTCCGAGGGTGTGAAAGTGTCTGTGTAAGGTTTTGGTTCTCAAATAAGCACGTGGGGGCCTTATGTAGCGCCTCGGGCTCGAAGAATGGGCGCAGAAAGATGAGGACGGGGGGGGGTTCTCCCCGTTGTCGGCCTCCGAGGGTGCGAAAGTGCTTGTGCAAGGTTTGGTTCTCAAAACAAGCACGTGGGCCTCATTTTGCGCCTCCGCTGCGAAACAGGTCTTACATGAGCCCTGGGTGCTTGCCTAGCGTTTCGGGTGCTCGCGGTGTGGAAACATCACGACGGGAGGTTTCTTCCTCCTCCTCCTCCTCCTCCTCCTCCTCCTCCTCCTCCTCCTCCTTCGGCCTCCGGGGGCCCTCGCTGGGCCTCGGGGCCGTCCGAAAGCGACTCGCGGGACGGAGAGCCGGCCCCTGGGGGCAGGGGTCGAGACCTCGGGGGGGGCACGCGCGGAGAGAGTCACAGCGCATCGGAGCTCCGACAATCCTTGGGCGTCTCGGCGGTGAGCGGAGAAGGCCCTCTCCCCTGAGATCCTGGCGGGAGGGGGAGGAGGAGGAGGAGGCGGAGGAGGAGGCGGAGGCGGAGGCGGAGGCGGAGGCGGAGGCGGAGGCGGAGGCGGAGGAGGAGGAGGAGGAGGAGGAGGAGGAGGAGGAGGAGGACCCTGAGATCCTGGCGTTGCAATTTGTGTTGCGGCGGGCGTGTTCGCCCGATTTCGGGCCCCGGGGCCCTGACACATCGATTCTCGGCTCGAAAAATGGTGCAGAAGGATGAGGTCCGGGGCTCCTGGCGCGATTTTTCGCGATGTTGCAATTTTATTGCAACGTCGGCTCAGGGTCAGGAGGCGGCGGGACGTCTCACTATAGCATGATAGCCCTCGCGCCCTCTGAGAACGAACAAGTCCGATCGAGCGCGCGCCCTAAGACGTCTCGTCCCGCTTGCGGGAATGGCGCGATGCATGCATAAAATCGGAGGTGGATAGACCTCCTATTCTGACACGTCGATTAAGAAATTGGCCGTTCTCGGTTCGCGAGAGGGCGTCGCGGCCGTTATTTTTGCAGGTCCAGGTCCGTCGGTTTCGGTCCCAGGCCGTTCTTACTAAGGGGAGGTTAACTAAAGGGAGGTTTGTCCACCGCAGATAAAAGAAGAAAACGTGCAGCGGGAAAGTGCAAATAATGAGCACACCCCTCGCGGATTGCTACACACAGCCTCGCACGTATGACAAGTACTGACACAGAAAATCCTGCACCAGCCTGCCAGGAGAGTCCTGCAAAATCCGCTCCAAACTGGTATTGAGGCGATCCCGGAAGAAATGGTCGATTGAATCGGTCCATTTAGTTCTGGGACGCCCACTTCTACGCGGACCGCTGGGGCGCCAGCGCAAGGCCAGAGATGGCCATGAGAAGTTTCCTAATTACATCTCCGGGGAAGGCCCAGAAGACTTCTCAGCTTCCGAGCCCTTTGACCCAGACCTCCTCGAGTCATGAAAAAATCACGACGGGAGGTTGTTCGCTATTTTCGGCCTCTGAGGGCCCTTACTGGACCTCGGGACCGTCAAAAAACGACTCGGGATGAAAAACTGGTCCCGGGGAATGGGTCTGGACCTCTGGGGGTCGCGTCATGAAAAAAATGACACTTGCCCCCCCCGGCACGCCGCCACAGCAGGCCTCTCCAGGGACCTCTTTGCCGGGCCCCAGGACCGCGGGCGAGGGGCGAGACTCCACAGTCGCACCGACCCTGAGATCCGACGTTGCAAAAAGAAATGCAACATCGCAAAAGTTGCAACATCGCAAAAATCCTCCTCCTGCTTCTCCTCCTCCTCCTCCAACTCCTCCTCCTCCAACTCCTCCTCCTCCAACTCCTCCTCCTCCTCATCCTCCTCCTCCTCCTCCTCCTCCTCCTCCTCCTCCTCCTCCTCCTCTCCTCCTCCTCCTCCTCCTCCTCCTCCTCCTCCTCCTCCTCCTCCCCCCCTCCTCCTCCCCTCCTCTTCCTCCTCTTTTTCCTCCTCCTCCTCCTCCTCCTCCTCCTCCTCCTCCTCCCCTCCTCCTCCTCCTCCTCCTCCTCCTCCTCCTCCTCCTCCTCCTCCTTCTCTTCGTCCCCTCGCGTCCCTCCTTGTCCTCCTCGCCCGCCTCTCTCTTCCTCCGCAGTGCTCTACGGGGGGGAGGGGGAAGGGGGCAAGGACGCGTGTTGCGTCGGCGTCGAGGGCCCCGCGGGGCTGACAATGGCCAAAAGGCTCCCGTCCACCGGCTCGGAGCGCGTGCGCGCCGCCCTCCGAGCCTTGCGGGGCGTGGCGCGCGCGCACGCTTCCCCCCTGGCACGCCGGGAACCCACGACTGGAGGGCCGACGCGGGCTGCGCGGGGGAGCACGGGCGGCGCGGGTCCGAGCCGCAAGGATGCAATCCTTGAGTCGGGCAGGAGGAGGAGGAGGAGGAGGAGGAGGAGGAGGAGGGAGCAGCACGGGCATGTCCCTCTGCAGGAGGAAGATTCAGAAAACGGTTGAAGAATAACATGGGGACGGTTTGTTTGGCGTGTATTGATTATTGTTTTGGGGGTTTTGTTTTGTGTACTTTTGATTTTTCGCCCAAGATCCGCCTGTATAGGGGGACATGCCCGACCTAATGCAATCCCTCTCGTGCCCTCTGGAGTTTGATTTCGGTCTTGGCAGGGGCCTCGGCAGGCAAACGAGCCTGCCCGAGGCGCACCTACCACAGCTGACACACATCAGCAGCTTGTCCTCGCTCTCCCTCGCCTGCGGGTCGAGCATTTCACACTCCGGGAGATGAGGAGGATGGGGAGGTGGAGGAGGAAAGGGGGGAAGGAAAGGCGGAGGGCACAAGGGGGAGGAAGGGGAGAACGTAAAGGGGCACAGTGGGTGGAGGAGGGGGGAGCAGGAACATGCTGCAGGAACAGAATACGCGAAAGCTAAGGTCCCGCACGCTTGAAAAATCTAGAAACAAGGGAGCGTTCCCCGGGCCGCGTCCCAGGGGGCCGGTGCGCAGCGGAGCCGAGGGGGTGGGGCGGTGAAGGTCTGAGGGGCGAAGGGGCAACCGAGCCGACAGGCAGGTGAGCCGCATCCTTGATGTGTGTGTGTGTGTATTGCTTTTGCTATTGTCCTTCTGCTCATCGTCATCCTATATATTTCTAGGCCTCCTAGATGGGGTCCGAGTAGATGGGGTCGGAGGATTGCGCCGCATCGCCGATGCATCGCCGATGCGGCTCGATGTGGAGCCCGTGATTACCCACGCCGACGTCGGCGGTGCATCGCCGACGTCCCCGATGCACCGCCGATGCATCGCCAATGCATCGCCGATACATCGGCGATGCATTGGCGATACGGTGCGATCCTTCGACCCTATCTACTCGGACCCCATCGAGGAGGCCTCTAATATTCCCCCCCTTGTGCTGCACGTCATATACTTCAGCCATTTTGGCCCAAGCTGTTTTGTGGCGCGCGGGCCTGCTGGGAAGGTCACCCCGCTGCGTCTTGTGTCAGGCGATTTGCGACGGGCGGAGGGCGGCCACTGCGATGTGCGACGCCATCGCCTCCCCCGGGCAGCGCGTCCGAGCCGAGGCGTTTCCAGACTGCCCCGGAGGTGCCCCCCACCTCTTCCTCCACGCCCCCATCCCCGTCTCCTCCGTATTCTCTTCCGTCTCCTCCTCCATCGTTTCTTCCTCCTCCTCCTCCTCTTCCGTCTCCCCGTTGCCATGTTGGTTCAAGATATACTGCTTTCCGGAGGCAGAACACGAATACCGCTGACCCGCAGCCAGTTCCGATCCCACCTATTCTGCACTGACGTGCAGTTCCCCTATCTATACCTCACTTGCCCCGCAAACATGTATGACAATGTCCACTGACCCAACAACGGGGCTAAGCCAGTGCACCCCGCGCGCACGGCCATGTTCAGCGACGGACAGCCAGGCGCGCAGGAACACACACACACACACACACACACACACACACACATACACACACACGCACACACCAACACGCGCGCGGCTGTCCACGTACACATCTGCACGCGTAAGCCCGCAGATTGGGACGGTAGATAGTGCGAGAGGGGGGGGTCGATTTGTTCCTGCGTTTTTTGCCGCTACTGCGCTGCATCGCCCAGCGCGCACATTTCACAGCCATTGAAATGATCCAACACGATTCTTCAGTCTCAGGTATTAAGTGGGCCTGAGCTAGCAAGGCCGATCGCAGACCGACGCCAGAGACGAAGTTTTTTGGCGCAAGGCATCGGGCACATTGTCCCAAGCACCCTCTTCTCGGCGCGGCCTGGGCCGAAGCGCGCCAGCCACGGTGCCAGCGCCACCTTTCGCGCGCCGCCCGCGGGCCGGAACCTCGACGAGTTCGGCTGAATCCACCCTTGCGCCGCCAGCTCACACTGCCACCCTGGCAACGGTGCGGCCATGGCGCCTGCGCTCTTCAGCGCGCCACGCCGCGCTCACGCGCGACCGGGTAGCACGCGGGGGCGCGCGCGCGAGGCAGCATTTGCGCACCGATCTCCGCGCGCGCCCTCAGCCCCTCGTGCGGCCGCCCACGCTGCCGCGGTCATGCACCGCCTGGGCTGAGAAAGTGGGCCGCCCCACGACACGATGGCACTGTGGATTTGGACTGGCACGCGGGAACGATCAACCAGCATGGCAGCGAATTTCGCGACACGTTCGCTGCGGCTTGCATTGGGATGCGAAGCGTTACTCTTGGCACTCTGCACATTCGCGCAGCCTGACGTTCTATGCCAGCCTGTATATGGTACATCTTTCTGGCAGTAGCTGAGCCTGATTCGAGCCTGATCCGCACGCCGATCTACACCTTGCGAGCGTGTCGGCTCGACCTGTGGACGACTCGCGCGAGCCAACAGTTACGCTGCTACGATCACGAACCGTGAAACCAGGCTAGTGCGTCTCACGCGCGCGGGACGACTCATTCCGAAACCGCCACTCATTGGTCTAGCGCTACCATATAGCACGCACGGCCGTGAGTGCCCCGGACGACCAGGCAAGCATCCACGCGCGCGCGGTCACGCGCGCGCACCGCACAACATCCGAGAACTGGTCGCCAATACCTCAAGCGACCTTCAGCGAGCAGCAATGCAGTCGTGGCCAAGGATGCCCCTGCGCACGTCATCGAGCTGCTCGACTTCCAGGCGGACTCCTACGCTCGTCCCGCTGTCACCTCGCCGAGGAAAGTTCGGGGCGCTGGGCCCGAGTCACGAGGCCTCCTGCATGAACAGTCATGCACCTTGACGCGTCGCCTCGGAACTCGCCGCGGACACCGACGCGTCGACACCGCGAACATCGCCTTCGCCCCGGCCCTCGGGCCGCACGCTGCCCCGCGCATTGCTTGCGCCGGGCAGGATGCGAGGCAGCGCAGCCATCCGCGGCGCAGATCAGTCCGACCGCGTGGCGCCCACCAAGGACGTCGAGCCCAGCCTCTCCGACGCCCTCGAGGAGGTCTTCGGCGACGGCACCGCCGCTGCCGGCCGCCGCAGGCGGGCCGAGGAGCTGCCCGGGAACTCGGCGCGGTGGCCTGGGCTGCAGGCAATACGCCACATCACGCACAACTACTCTGCCAAGGAGCACGGCTGGCTCATCAACGGCCTCGCCCCACGGCATGCAGCAGAACGCGCCAGAAGTGCACGAGGTCGACATCCTGCAGGATAAGACCCCTCGAGGCACGCCGCGCCGGGCAGGAGCTGTCGCTGGACGACGTCACGGCGACGGCCGCGACTCCCGAGATGCCGACGGCGGACGAGTCGCTGGACCAGCCCCAGATTGCGCGCGCTGAACGAGCGCGCCGTGGCGGACAAGATCGACGCCCACGCTCTGCGCCACGTCTTGTCCTCGCACCTCCACGCGCCTCCTCGTCGTCGAGCCGGGCTTCCGCGACGCGGATGCGCAGCGGCGCCAGACCGTCGCGAACGCCGCGGCCAGCACCGGCGGCAAGTGGGCAGCGCTGGCAGCATTCGGAGCCGACGCGATGCGGAGCCGCGATTTCGAGAGCGACATCAGGACGAACCCCCATAGCGGCTTCGGAGCGGCGTCGGGGGTCGTCGACGACGACCTCGCGCAGGAGCGCGGCGGGAGGCGGCGCGCGGAGCGCCGCCAGACGAGGGGGGGCTCGCGAGCCTGGGCCCCGACGGACCGAGCCACGCGCCGCCCGCCCAAGGCCATCTACCCCCACGTCGGGCGCGTCCCCCTACAGGGGGATTTTCGACGAAAAATGGAATCATTCAAGAAATATTCCAAAATGGCAAAAGAAAAATCATCCCCCCCCCCAAAAGAAAAACAAAAAAAAATTGTATTTTTAATTAGTTTTTGATTATTGTCGGGGTGCTTATTATTTTTCGTCGAAAATCCCCCTGCATGGGGGACGCGCCCGACATGGATCTACTCCCGGCCGCCGACGGACGACTACCAGCTCGCCGAGCCCGTCGAGCCCCCGCGCGCGGTCGGGGCGCCCGCGTAGCGGACCGCACTGCCAGGCCCTTCCTTTGCATCGCCAGATTGACGCGCTACTCCGCGTGATGCACCGGCGACTGCGAGGGCATAATGCGCGAGCGGGCGGGCAAGGTCCGGCCGCCCGCCGCCGCCAGCCTTGCGGAGGCGGCCATCGCCGACGCCTGCGCCCAGATATTCAATTCCACGGCAAACATCAGCGTTGATAACAATAAGCTGGACAACATGCGCGCCTCAATGCACGACGTCTGGCAGACTCCTGCTGACCCCGCCGAAAGAGGGCAAAATCTACCCCGAGAAGCCCGTCATGATCAACGACGTCAAGGACCTCATGCCGATGGCGACCTCACGGGCTGCTAGCCTCCAGGAGGCCGCGAACGAGATGCAGGATTTGACGCGCCAGTGCAGCGCCAAGGCACGGCAGCGCTGGACTCACTCCTCACTCGTCGCTCCCGCGCCAGCCCGCGGCGCGGGCATTTGCCCTTCGACAGCGGCTGGCGATGTAGCCGCTTATCGGGGGCGATAACTGGGGAGCGGTGCCGCGCTGCCCAACGTGCGCCTGCGCACTGTCTGCGCTACATTGCGACAGCACCCTCGCACGGACAGTTGCACGCAAGCGCGCCGACGCGCGCGCAACAGTGCGTTTCCCAGTGTACTGCCGACGAGGTCGCGCTCAGAGTCGCTAGACATGTGACATCAATCACCAGGCCCACCGCCATGATCCTGACGGCGACACGCAGAACCACGCGGTCGCCATGGTTGCGCGCGACCCCACGTTTCGGGCAAGGACAGCCGGCCGAACCAGCTCCCCTCGCGCAGCGGCCAGCAGCGCGAACACCGCCGCGTCCGCAACGGATCGACGGGAAGAGCTGGCGCCTCCGTCTGGCACGGCACCAACCCTGTCCTCCTGAGTGTGTTTCGCAGCATATGTGCACGCGCCCATGGCCTGAGCGCCCATAGCCTGAGCACAGGCCTCGGCAAACATGGCGAACACGCATGCCACATTCATTTGTGCACGCCCCCCCCTCCCCCCAATGTTCAAAGTTGACGGTGTGTCTGATGAGTTGCACCTCGACCGCAGTCTCCCCGGCGCGTGCCAACTTTGCGTTTGAGGGGCAGGGGGGGTGCTCACTAATTGTTTCCCTCTTACCGCATGTTTGAGTCCGATGCACCAGCGACAAGGCACTCGGCGATTGAGCTGCGACGAGCGCCGCGAGAATGACCCGACGACGCGCTCATCGCAGATCTCGTTCGACACGAGCGCCATCGAGAATCCGCCCCATGCCATCAGTGGCTGGCCAGCTTCTCCATCAGTTCCACAGGCTTCATTGTATCGCAGGAGAGCGGCGCCACACGGGCAATCACATGAACGTCTTCATCGCGGAGCCCAGGCAGGTACATGGCCCCAGCCATTCGACTGGCGCGATGCGCGCGCGCCCGGCTTCGGCACCTCAGCACCGGCGGCGCGCGAGGTGCCAGCGCGACTTCACACCACCAAAGAGATCAGGCATGAATCGCGGCGGCCCGGCAAAACAGCCGAGGTGGGCGCCTGCGACGCTGCGCTGCTGTCGGCCGCCCCCAGACAGCACGCGCCGCGTCGGCGCCGCTCAACCCTCGCCAGACCAACGCGCGGACCAGTCACTAGCTGGGATTGGTAAGCGTCAGCAGCTAGAGGCACGCTGCACTAAACAGGTGGGCGAGCGACATCCGCGCGCACACGACACAAGGCGCGCGGGTGCTCTCCAGCTACAGCCGCGCAAGCGACGCAATGGCCAGGTACGCCCACTGGCACCTACTCACAAAAGAGTGCCGAAGGCGAGTTTCCACGCCAGCAGCGCGCCGGATATAGAGCCAGGGATCGAGCCTGGTTGGAAGGCATGATAGGCGCTGCGGCTCGCGCGCACGCAGGGCACGATCTGTGCTGGACCCCCACGAGCAAACGCTCCCAGCTGCGAGGCAACGTCGGCCGGTCGCACTGGGCAAAGGTCTTGTCCCTGGGCGCTCCTGGCGGTGGGGGGTCGTTACGATCCACAACCTTCTGCAGGGTCATATCAGCCCGTCTCGCGCTGACCAGAAGCGAGTGGGCAGGGGGGCTCCCAGGGTTCGCAATATTCCGTTCGGGGTGAAGCTCCTGAGCCACGGGTGGGTTGCGCCGAGCGCCCGACGCTGAGGCCTCGTGGCGAATGCTCTAGCACTTTGTTGCGGGTGGCCCTCTATAGCCGATGTGCTGCGGAGGGGCGCTCTCCATTACCTGGTAGCCCCGACTCGACTAGGAGGGGTCCGCTGCCGTCTGTGTCACAGCGGGCCTGCGACCGCCATGTCTCTTACCTTTCACCACTGCCACCCGCAATTCTAGTCTCGTCCCCTTTCTACCTTTCTCTCCCTCTCCCTCTGTCTCTCTCTCTCTCTCTCTCTCTTTCTTTTTCTCTCTCTCCCTCTCCGTGTCTATGTCATCACTCCTCCATCTCTTCTTCATTGTCGTTAACATCGTCGTCATCCTCCCCCTCAAGACGCGGCAGGCGCCTGGCGCAGAGAGTCTGTGGGCGAGCCACTGTGCGACGAGCAGCCGTCGCACAGTCGCACGATCTCTGGGTCCACACGCGACACGGCCGCGTCGCCGTCACCCAGGATTGGCCACGTCGTCGTCGTCGTCGCCGCCGCCGCCGCTGCCGCCGCCGATGCCGCCGCTGATGCCGCCGCCGCTGCCGCCGCCGTCGCTGTAGTCGAGGAGACGCTTCGTGTGGGCCGACGAGGACAGCGAGGAGGACGAGGATCGTGAACGGAAGGTCTTGTGGCTGCGCACAGACAGCCCCCGCGAGGTATTCAGCCCCGACGTGCCCCCTTGGCACCCTGCGGTTCACTTCCGAGCCCGTTCGGCAGCCGAACGGGCTCCGATCCTGAGTCCGTTCGGCGGCCGAACGGGCTCAGACGCCGGCTCCGAAGGGAACCTTGGGGTTAACATCAAGGGCGGGAGAAGTGTCCGTGTCCACGGCCTCGCCGGCTCGGGCACCTGGGCCGAGACCCCCGCGGATACGTGGCGTGTCCTCGCGGATGTCACGCGCGAGACGTGTCCGTGCGACTGCGTGTCCACGGAATCGCGCCCCAAAATCCAGACCGCGAGGGCGTGGATGCGGATACGTTCCCAGACCCCCTCGCGTTGTGGAAAAAAACACGGCAGGAGGTTTTTCGCTACTTTCCGCAGGCCTCGGGACCGTCAAAAAAACACTTGGGATGAAGAACCCGTCCCTGGGAAGGGGTCCAGACCTCTGAGGGTCGACGTTGCGAAAAAATCACGACGTCGGGGGTCTGGGCCCACCAGCCATCGATTCTCCTGAACTCGATGGGCGAATCGATGGGAGGCGGGGGGCGAGCTTTCGCAAAGGCTTACGTGACCGCGCAGTCTTGCGGCGGTCTCGTGCGCAACCCCTGGCTTTGCCCCGCCACCACCACCACAGCCCGAGCCTCCACGGGCCCGATCTGTGACCAGGGCTTGGTGGACACGGGCTCCCGGTCGCCACATCCACCAGGCCGGTGAAACCCAGAGTCCCAGACACCCTCGAGTCATGAAGGGGCATAGAAGGGAATGCCTGGGGAAGGATTGGTGGTGGCAGAAAACTCCCACATCCCGAGAGGACCTCGTCCAGGGGCCGAGTTGCCGCGAGGAGTCGTGCCTCGAGGCGGTCGCATGCTGGTCCGGCGGATTGGGCGGGCGCCCCGGAGGGTCTTCGCCAGCCCGCACCGGCGCCCCGCAGGCTGCGGCGCCTGCCGAGTGGAAGCCGAACGCGCACGCCCCAGAGTTCATCCCAACAACCGGCATGGACTGCGTGGTGGTGGGCGTGCCGTCTGCACGCTCGCAGGGGCACACCCCGCCTCTCCTCATCCTCGGCGTGGCGCCGGCCGAGCAGGTGGCCCAGCTCGTTGCCCAGGCGTGCGGCGCGGGCGTCCAGCCCTCCGCAGGGCCAGCTCTGGCTGGCGACGCTGCAGGCGTGGCCAGAGCACCGCCTCCGCGGAGGCGCAGGCACGCCGCGAAGAAGAGCCTGCCCGCGCAGATCTGCGCGTCGCCCGCCGAGTTGGACAGCCAGGCGTCGACGACCGCCAGCGGCTGCAGCAAGGGGCTGCACGACATGCCAGAGGCGACGGAGGAGGAGTTCAGGGGCAACGATAGGGGGGGGGAATGGGCTCGGGGGGCGGCAACGCATCGACCCCCCATCGCCCATTGATCGCCGAGGGCGGTCTGATAGCCCCCCCTCCCGCCCGGGAGCGTTCGGACTTGCTATCGAGGGCCCATCGCCGATGTACCGGCGACGTATCGCCGATTCCAAGCCGATGTCTCCCCCCCGGAGCCTCTCAGGAGTGGGAGCACCGCGCCCGGCAGCGTGCCCGCGCGGTGGAGATCGGCAAGGCGTCGAGGGAGTACCGGCTTCGCTGCGAGGCCGAGAGGGGCTGCGGGGTCGGGGAGCCCGACGAGCCGAAGACGCCGGACCCGCGCGACCGCACCGTCAGCAAGCGCACGTGGAAGTTTCTGCTGCGGGAGTGGCGCGGCTCCTTGGCGGGGCGTGGGCGCCAGCATCTCCTGCAAGGCTCGACGGAGAAGAGGCTGCCTGAACACAGACTTTCGGAGGTCCGCGCGGATTTCTCGGGTCGGCGCTGGGCCCTGCTGGCGGCGCCTCTGGCGCCGCCCCTGGCAAGCTCCGCGCGCCAGGGGGCAGCCAGCGCAGACCCAAGAAATCCACGCGGACCATCGAAAGTAGATGTTTGCGCAGTTCATGCTTCCACTACAGGTCCCGAGAGCGTGGTGTCCACCGAGGAATGGCAGTCGATGGGTGCTGCCACAACCGAGGAGCCAGAGAGCGTTGCTGCGATATGTGGCAACAGCGACTCGGAAGGCACGTCAGACATCTGAGAGCCAGCACTGGCCAGTCTGGGAAGGATGTCAACGGCGAAAGAGCGGAGAAGAGCAATGGGATCAAAAGGCACGAGGGTAAGGAAAGCTACGTGGCAGTGTTTCTTCGCCCCCTGTACACGATGTAGTGGTGCGGGGAAGCGCGCCAGCCATTCGAGCATCTTGCCCCTGTCTCCGACCCCCCTGCGCATTGGCCGTGAAGCAGGCAATTGCTGTGGTCATTGGGTGCTCATCGTTTTTCTCTATCTCTCTCTCCCTCTCTCTCTCTCTCTCTCTCTCTCTCTCTCTCTTCTTTCCAGAGACGGCGATCTGCTCTGCGGCCTGCGTGTGTGTAAAACACAAAGGGCGAGCTTCGTTAGTCAGCCCGTGCGCGGGACCTGCGAGGCACTTCGCGTAATTTGTCTTCGCCGCACTTGTTTCTTTCGGTCTGGTTGCGGGGTAGCCAGGTGCAAAGAAGCGCTGGGGTGCGCGGATGTTTGAGCAGCTTTTAGCGGCCACTGTACTTTAGGAGAATACGTACTTGCTTGCGCTCGTGACTACGCTGGCAGATGGCTGCAACAGTGTACCCACTTGGCGGGTCAAGATTTCAGCATGAATAGCGGAAGCCTGACCTGGAGGGTTGTCGCAAGAGCCTCTTCCGAACCA